TTTTAATTAGATGTATCGTGAAATTTTATTTATTAGCAGATTTCATTTTAATTTAGCATTTAATTCGTAATGTCTGTTTAAACTCGAAATAATAAAGAATCAGAGTTTGACAGGTCTTTTTTGTATTTGGATAAAAATCGACAAACTTCATGACTTCAACATTTCTTCTATCAACTAATACTACACCATTTTTTTTACATATCAAGGTCATGTCTCCCATTTGATTATAGAAATGTAAAAACATGATCTATACCCTAACATTTCTTGAACAAGGCAAGATTTTGACAAATAAGTTGAAAATACAAGAAAATCAAAAGTCTACATTAAAGTCAATATTTAGCAGATCCAATAGTCAGCCAGAATTCCTCATTGATGGCCATGCATCGGTAAAGAAAAAAAACAAAACCAAAATCTGTACTGTGATCACTTCTTTGTAAATTGTACACTGCCTTGCGGACTTTTTGTCCAATTTGACGCTCAGCATCCATAATTATAAATGATTTAGGATGATCAGGTTTGCGTTAGACTGCCACATACGATTGCTTTACAAGATTATTTGCATTATCGTGATTTTTAATGTGACCTTACAATTTTAGTTTTGTGTTTATATACACGATATAGATATCTGTTTAAGGAAGCCATGTGAGAATACAATTTGACAGATATTATTTATACAGAAATATCCCCCCCCCCCTATTTTTTTCACTGGAAAATAGGACCAAAAGACTTGAAGAATGCACAATCTATTCAACTTCAGTTTTTCCTGTCAAATGCCACGAAGGATTAAGCATCCCCTGCCGACCATCACAACGGCCGTGTGCTCTTTTTATGATTGGGAAATAACGGAAACAATGGTCCAACAATAAATATGAAAAATGTAAGTCAGCATTTAATTTAATGATAGATTATTTTTGCTGACAAAAGTCATTGTATCGAATATAGAACTAACGAAATGATGACGAAACGAGACTGTTGGTATTCTTGTTTCATTATCTTGTTTGCCAATAAACTACCTTGGTTTAGAAATTGTTTTTACGTAGAAAATGTTCTTGCGTTTCGAATTAAATGAGAGATATAAACCATTGAAATATATGCAGGTAATAGGGGTATATTGCTACATATGTAAAGGAATTTGACTATTTAAAAATTATACATGACGTTTATCATGAACCTTTCTCGTTAATTTACCATTATCGTTTTGCTAGTTCAATATCTAAGTATAAAATAGACGTGTCAGTCTCTGTGGTATCATTGTTCTCGAGCTCACTGGAATATATTATGTTGACATGTGAGTGGAAATGACTAATTATGTTAATTGACAGAGCATCGTCGATATAAATAAATGTTGAGTTGAAAACCGCAGCAAGTGTTTTCTTTTTCTCTTGTATAAGATTTTGAATAATGTCTGCTTCATATGAATACAAAGTAAGTCTGTTAATAAGGTGGCGTAATTTGTGCCCATAGGAATTCCAACATATTTTTTGAAAACGCCGTTGGTGGCCAAGAAGCCTAGTCTCCAAAACCACATAGATATTGTCAATCAGAAATTCAGGCATCTTTTTAATATCAACTCCAGAGTACTTGTGTATACAATCAGAATATCTTTTAACAAAGATTTTCACCCATCCAGTAATGTTTTGCAGAGATTGCAGAGTTGATTAAATTTGCTTATCATCATGGTAACGGACGGGTGATGAGTGCATGTGTTAGACAAACACAAGCACATCTTGTGAGAATTTCAATGGAGGAGAATATGATATACTATCAATTTTCAGCATAGCAGAGTAATGTTTCCTTTGTTATAAATCTGAGGAGAAGAGGGTACTGTTATGCACCTATCTAAGTAAACTGTTTCCTTTTTCGTAAAACGATTTGTATAATTTATTGTAGAAAAAAGTACAAGAAATATTCAGCACACATCCCCAATAGAATACAAGCATACAAAAAATGCTTTAAAATTCTATAAAGACCAAACAAGTCTTAATATTGTGAATAACAAAATAAACTCTTTTGTTGATGTAAACAACCTATACCCTGAATTGTCTGCAAAAGAAAAAAGAGACAATTAAAACTTCACATTAAACATGTATCGTAGATTCTTTTAACTGGGAGAGATACAAACTTCGAATTCAAGACTGAACTTATTCATGTTATTATGTAGACTGAAATTCTAGATTTTTGAATCAATTTCAGCAAACAATTTGACTTTTTAAAAAGATTTAAATATGAAGGTTTTACCCGTAATCTAATAAAAATTAGATCTTTGATCCGCTCATACTAGGTAGGTATCAAATTTTAATAAGATTGTTTTACCTGTAGTTTCCGATTGAACAGCTATTACGCAATCGATTTCGTCACTTCCGTCGTCACAATCAAGTTTAGCATCACATTCAAACTTTCTTGGGATGCAGAACTTAGCACTTTTACATATAAAAACATCAGTCATACATATGATCGGATCAAAATCTTTTGGAATACCTGTAAATTAATCCATGTTTGTTAGATAAGTTACATAACGTAACTTAATCAGCACACTATATTCATATGACGGGACACTTAATTTAATTATTCTAGACATTTTAATTATCTTTTCTACCTGGGCATGTTCTATTGTTGCAGATCTGCTGTTCAAAGTCACGCCCTCCACATTCCCTTCCTCCATTGGTCGGCTTAGGATTGTCACATTTCCGGTGGCGCTTCTGAACACCACCCCCGCACATAACCGGACAGTTGCTCCATCTTGTCCACATGCCCCAATACCCATCCGCTGAAATAATGTTATTATAGTGATGAAAAAAGGATTATTACACTATCTTTTTGTTTCTCCCTTAACTTCTTAGAAAATATTTTCATGTTAATCAATTTGATTAACCAAGAACTTGTAAGAACAAGTTTCTTAAAAACATATAAGCATTAAAAGAAAATATTTTTTAGTAAAAAAAAAGAACCCCCATCATTCCCTGAGGCAGAAGCATCTCAACAGAAATAGGATATTTAGAAAGGAGTATTTCCTTAGAAGGTAAACTTATTCATAGGGTCAACTTACAGCTTTTCGAGCGTAGATTGATTTTACAATTTTTATACCCTCGCAACGGAGATGAAGGGGAAATAGTAACGCGCTAGGGTGCGTTAGTATGTGTGCAAGTTTGTTTTGTACGAAACGGAAGTAACGTGATTTACTAGAATGCTGTCTTGATTTATAGATCTATAATAGATATTATGCTCTTTGCAAGACATGGAGCGCGCATGTCTGCAAAAGCATGTTTCCCCTAACAAAAAAAAATACTATAGTAAACTATAGTTAACTATAGTTTACTATAGTTAACTATAGTACCAAAGTTAAAACATTGGAATTTTGATTTAATATGGTGAAAACTTTGGAACTTTGATTTACTATGGTAAAAACTTTGGAACTTTGATTTACTATAGTAAAAACTTTGGAACTTTGATTTACAATGGTAAAAACTTTGGAACTTTGATTTACTATAGTAATAACTTTGGAACTTTGATTTACTATAGTAAAAACTTTGGAACTTTGAATAACTATGGTGAAAACTTTGGAACTTTGATTTACTATAGTAATAACTTTGGAACTTTGATTTACTATGGTGAAAACGTTGGAAATTTGATTTACTATGGTGAAAACTTTGGAACTTTGATTTACTATGGTAAAAACTTTGGAACTTTGATTTACTATAGTAAAAACTTTGGAACTTTGATTTACTATGGTAAAAACTTTGGAACTTTAATTTACTATGGTGAAAACTTTGGAACTTTGATTTTCTATGGTGAAAACTTTGGAACTTTGATTTACTATAGTGAAAACTTTGGAACTTTGATTAAGTACTATAAAACCCGTGGAATTATGGTTTTGATTCTCATATTGTACATTTTATGAAATGTCAAGAATAAGATTTATTACAGCTTCAATGAACGTTTTAAAAACCCGACTCGTCCCCTAAAAGAACAAAGTACAAAGAAATGAATTTTAATGAAAAAATTGTCTTTGCACCGATAAATAAGCAATATTTATTATTATTTATGGAGAAAAAATTACTATAAGATAAAAATTCCGTCATTTAGAATCAAAATATTTGCTTTTTTAACTTCAGTCAACATCTTTTTTATTTGTTTTTCTACCGTTCATTGTAAATAATGCATTTAAATTAATTACTTTGCATATTAAAATTGAGATGAACAACAAAAAGCAGCCCAAACAAACCTAAATCATCATCCTCAAAACAGATTAATAATTTAAAAAAAACTTATTAAAAACATACAAACACTTTAATACTTTGATTTACTATGGTGAAAACTTTGGAACTTTGATTTACTATGGAAAGGACTTTGGAACTTTGAATAACTATGGTGAAAACTTTGGAACTTTGATTTACTATGGTGAAAACTTTGGAACTTTGATTTACTATAGTAATAACTTTGGAACTTTGATTTACTATGGTGAAAACTTTGGAAATTTGATTTACTATAGTAAAAACTTTGGAACTTTGATTTACTATGGAAAAAACTTTGGAACTTTGATTTACTATAGTGAAAACTTTGGAACTTTGATTTACTATAGTTAACTATAGTAAACTATAGGTAACTATAGTTTACTATAGTATTTTTTGTTAGGGTCGCAGTGCTTTTGTTATCATCATATCTTTATGTTAAAAAATACCTGCAAAGACAACTTTTTGAAAAAATCCCTTAGTATTCCAATACTAGTATTACAAATTTACACACAATTACCTACCAGGACAATTGACCTCAGCTGAGCATTCCATGAGATCATAAAATAGATGCTCTGTGGTAATGCCGTTCATAATCCATTTTGCTGTCCTGGTAGAAATACCGGAGCCACAGGAGGCGGCACATCCGGACCAGGGGCCCCAGTCTCCCCAGTGTCCCTCCACAGGTCTCCTCCCGTCAGACTGAGAAACTAAACAGATAATAATCAACTTATAAGTACCTCCCTACTCCCCCCACAGTGCCCCACTACAGGTCTCCATCCGTCACACTGAAAAACTAAACAGAAAATAATCAACTTATAAGAACCTCCCAGTCTCCCCACTGCCCCTCTACAGGTCTCCATCCGTCACACTGAAAAACTAAACAGAAAATAATCAACTTATAAGAACCTCCCAGTCTCCCCACTGCCCCTCTACAGGTCTCCATCCGTCACACTGAAAAACTAAACAGAAAATAATCAACTTATAAGAACCTCCCACTCTCCCCAGTGTTCCTCCACAGGTCTCCTCCCGTCACACTGAAAAACTAAACAGAAAATAATCAAGTTGTAAGTACCCCCATTCCCCCACAGTGTCCCTCCAAACGACCTCGCCTGGGGGCCATAAACTTAGATGAGCTTACTTTTGATCTCATGCAGTCCAGTCTCACTTTTCCGCTATTAATACCTTTGATAAAATTGAGACTGAAATCAAAAGTGAGTTCACGTACGTTTTATGACCCAAGGCCTCATCCCGGCAAACTCAAAGGTAAATAGAGAATAACCAAATCAATTTTAGAAATTCCAATACAGGCAACGTTTTGATTAATTCTGAATTATCATTTAAATGATCGTTTGCTTGAAATGGAATGAAAAATACATTTTATTCTTATCATGCCTTCCCTGAGCAAAATACTCAATTAGTTCTCGAACGTACTGAGTATTATAGGAGCAATTAATTTCCATAAAATTTTATTAAAAAACCCAACCAATAGTAAAGATCTTGATGTACTTTTTTAATCAATAAAGAAAAAAAGATTAAAACTAAAAACCCAAAAATGGATATATAAGTCTTAGACGAGCTCTCTTTTAATCTCAGTCCATAGGTACACATTCAGTAATGTAAGAAAGTAAAATTGGGATTTTAAAAAAATGAGCTCATCAAGTTCGATGACCCCGAATCGTAATTTTTTAAATATATATATATTAATTTATACATGTCAGGAAGTACTATGAAAAGTTACTGAGTTGAATGATACCATTTTTATATACTCTAAGCCGAGAAAATATACACATTTGTGACTATGTAAATTTTATGAACTCTTACTAAATAACATTCATCACGTGCACCTTGGTAAACTACCATAATTGAAATTTATAAATCGTCGCCCACTAGAATAAAATGAAATAAACTATCTCTTCTTCATGATTTGTTTATATTTCATTTTAACTTACTTGAAGTAGAAATAATGTAAATGGCAATCATCCATCTCCGAAAGATTTGCCCATCCATTGCACATATTTCTATAACATACAGATTGAAGTGTAAATTCAATGTACTAATTAAAATGGTTCTGATAGTCTTCTACACTACAAAAAATGGGACTCCTTATATCTACTTCATCTCTAATTTCATTCTGTAGTATGCTCTTTCATTAGCTTTTGTTACAAATTTAAATGCCAAATCAATTTTTTTATCTGATCTTTAAATTTACAAGATCAGGTCAACCAATTGTATCAAATTTAAAATAAAAAAAAACAACAACATGTTTATCATAAAATGGGAATATGAACTTTCTCCCGAAATTAACAACGTAAAACTGATAAATTTATTTTGATTTTATTGTATTAAAAAGAAAAAAAAAACCACTGATTTTTCGAAAGGCGATACTTTCTGCAATGTAAGACAACATATGTCCCTTTATTTTAAAGTATTTTAGCTATCGATTAAATAGCGTTGAATTATATGATTCCTTAACATTTAAATACATGTGTGTACGGTACGTATTCAATTACTATTTTTATGTTTAGTTCAAGGCATGATATCAATTTCCGACTCAAAACATGCCTGTAAGAACAATTGTTGAAATCTTAATGCTATATTCTAGCCCGGAACTTCATTGTTTATGAAATAATACTAAGATTATTTGCTCCCATTGAAAAAAAGAGGGATAGAATTGAAAAAAAAAATTAAAGAAATACATGTAGTTCAAAAATAGTTGTTTCTTTTCAAAATATTCTAACATTTTAGGACAGATGATACGTTCCTAACTAACATATTTTTTTTTACAAGATTTTGTGATTGAAGAAATGCTCCTTTTACAAGTTATACTAAAATACTTGAGGTACCTTACCAAGCATTATTGCAAGATACCAGAGGATGGTGTTGCCTATATATATAATTCTATCGAAAATAACTTAAATTGCCCAAATCAGAAAAAGAGCGTTATAATAAAAAAGCAATTAGAAACAAGTTTAGAAAGCACAAGGTAATTACAATATTGAATATATTTTATATAATAGTACGAAGATAATTATACAGAACAGATATCTGAGGAACGTATCCGTCTGCCCGTAACCGACATGCACTGTTTGCTATAAATTTTAATAATATTTTTCGCTTTGTTATGTAAAGAACCCCAAGAACATCCTCTTTATCCGATAATGTTCGCTTGTTTTTTCGCTTGTTTTCCAAGGTTACAATGTGTTAAAATGGATACTATTAAAAGCACTATACATGTAATTTTTCGTTTGAAACAGTAACAGCTGATATCCTGGAAATCTGATCAAGGACTCGCAATAAAAAATATGCTGATTTAAAATTGTTCCCCTTAAGCTATCATAATATACATAACTTGAAGGTCTACCTGACTTTGCAACATCGCAAAAGTAAATCAATAATTTTTCACTCATATGGAGACGTCACCACTTGCCGGTGGAGAGCTACAAATTTTTGTCCTATGCTCGACACTCAGGGCAATTAAACAGTGATGGATTCACTGCAACACGGGGCATCAGTTCATATACGGTGTCATCCGAGGGTCTGATCTCCACGTCCCACAGTGGGATTTGACACCACGACGTAAGGATCGACTCCTTACTTCGCGACTTAAGAGCAGACGCTCTAACTACTTCGCCACATAATAGGGAAAAATACGGTCGCGTAATTAAAATATAACAGTCTGCAACAATTCTATGATAACACTTATCCCAATATATGTGAATATTTTGTGCAACTTCTAATGAAATATACATGTATATGAATATACCAAGCTGTATTCAAGCTCTAAACTTCATTAAACAATATAAATTTTGGAGCAGAGCAAACAGTAGCGGCTAGATCTGAGGCCTGTTCAGCAGAGCGAACGTTCGCGAGCGCTCGCCAAAATTCCTTATATCTCCAATAATAATTTTGTAGAGCACTCACGAACCTTCGCTCTGCTGAACAGGCCTCAGGTGACATGGAAGAATGAACACCCACTGCTGACGTGTGCTTGTTATGATCTAGCAAAAAGAAAAATCCGTGGATATATAGCGTGAACAAATGACCTAACAATTGATATGAAAAGCGTCACTCAGCATTTGATTAAATGTATTTGTTGACATGGTCATTATATTGGCCATATAGAACTTACAAAATGGATGACTTTAAACGAGATTTATGATATTCTCGTTTCATCAATGTTTGTCAATAGCTTTAGAAATATTTTCCCGAAATCGCCGTAATGGAATTCTGCAGAATGCCATGTTTGTTAAAGTCTGCTTAAGTGTTTCATCATTGCTCATACGTAGAACATGCTCTTGCGTATCGAATCACCTGTAAGATAGTGTGAGGGTGTGTGTGTGTGTGGGGGGGGGGGGGAGAGAGGGTGTGTGAGTGTGTGTGTTCAGTTGATAAAGATGAATTTGCTGATAAAGATGTATTGCTGTATAAGTGAGGAAAGTTGAAGGCTAAAAAATTAGTCATCTTTTTTATCAGAAAGCTTTGTTAGATTACCATTAAAGTCTTTCTCTTGTAAAATATCCAGATATGTAACATATATATCGGCCTCTATGGCATCTTTCATTTCAAGATACTAGTATATCGTATCGACATGGAATGGAAATAAGCATCGTTACATGTAATTGACAATACGTCGTAGATATATCTACATAATCAAGTCTAGCCAATGATTTTCCCTTTATTTTTTTTTACAGATTTTATGTTACTTGTGATCCTCTTTTTTAAACATGAAGTAAAAGAAGGCATAGCAAATGCTTCTGTCGACTACTGGATATATAGAAAGTGGTTTATGAATTTACTGTAGTTTAGGTTTTAAAACGAATTATAAAAGCAAGAGATTATGCTCCATTCTGTTGTTTTCCCTTAAAATCAAAAGACGAATTCAGTTGGTGTTTCTGAGTATGGAAAATATTAAACAGCATATATACTATTTTAACAATCAGTAAAATTATGAAATATATCCAAAGAGAATTAACATGATTAAGTAGGGTTATAAAGATGCTACAACATCTCTACCCTACTCTACTAAAGCATGTTAAATTTAAGAAATATCTGCTTAAATATATATGTTTAATAGCTTAAGAAAAAATATTAAACTCGAAGCAAATACTTTCGTAACACTTGTCTAATCCGGCAAGCGCTGATTCTAAAATCTTGGTCGGATGAGACAAAATTCGACCAATTGAAATATATGTAACTGAAATAAACTTGAAATTAACATCGCATTTAGACTTTATTTGGGATGACACAGCATCCGGATTAGAAACGTTTCACAGATTTTATTGCTTATTTAATTGTTGTATAATATATAAAAAAAGTGCACACCTGGAGACATGTGGGAAAACAATTTAAAATCTGGCCTTTTTATAAACTCAAATGTGCCAGTTCTACCCAAAGACGGCAAAAAGACAAAACATATATTGTATTTTTAGTTTAAGCCAAAACTTAATCGTTTTTAATAAAATACCTTTGGCTTTTTCCAGATTGCATTATTTTATAGATCTATGACGTCATAATATATACATATTTGCAAAGCTTCTGAAGAAAAGTAAAAACAGTTTATATGTAAGATACAATATATATATATATATATAAAATACACAAACTTTTACGTATATAATTAAAAAACATCAATCTTTTATCTTCTGTAGCATGTAGATATATATATGAAAATAATATATTTATCAAAAAGGGGACTTAAGTATCTCTAACGCCAATTTTGGTCTTTTCATGATGAATAATACACCAAACCTTCAGAATCAATATTTTTATTAAAAATTGCAAAGACTGTGAAATATTACCATGAATCATTCGTAACAGATGCAGTTTATCCTGTTATTCTATAACTAAATGTCTGAGGCAGAAGTTTAACATCAAGGTCGTCTAATAGCGCCAAATGTATAAATAGAAAATACGGCAACTCGATGATTACGACGAAGTACATTAAGCATATGAGTTCAGCTTTGGCATTCAAGAACGAGTCGGTTTTAATGTTCTTTTTGGTCATTCTTTTGGTCGGCAACCCCGGGCTTCTCGAAGTAAAAGGTAAGATATTCTGCTTCCATTTAAAACAGATCAGTTAGATTAAATATGACGTTTTATTTTTGACGCAAGATCAGGTCAAGTTAATTATTTCTTCATTTGACATTAAGAACTAATAAGAAATACGGTTTCCAGTCATGCAATGCCTACTTCTATTTCAAAAGATTAAACACTTTCTCTTTGCATAAAAAGATATTACCATATAAAGTCAATCAAATGATATAATCAAATTGTCATAATTTCACTAGTGTTGACATTGATATTGGCTAATTCATTTATTTTCTTTCTATTTGTCTCTAATTTGATTAACATTACAAAATCAAAACGTGTTAATCGTTTACTAAGAGAGAAAAGACACTTTTTAAGGATTTTTAGCTTAAATCCGTAATTTGGTTTGGAAGCTTTTAAAGCTAAAATGAATGCAGTTTGTTTGAAAAATCATCTATATTTGAGGTGTTTTTTTTTAAAGCTTCAGCTTATTTTTACAAATTTTTCCGAAATTTGAAAATTTCTTCAAGTTCTGAGTGTGTAAAAAAATTGACTAAATTCATTGTTCTAGAGTAATTTCAAGAAGCAGAAAAAAGATAATTCTAAATGCTGCCGTTCTCCTAAAAAATACAGACTTTGCTAGATTTCAAACTCAGCTAACCATTTCTATTGAGGGTTGTACAATTGTAACGAGGAAAGAAAAATATGATCTCTTAAATCCCTTACATCTAAATTCATGACATGTGAGCAAATATACTTTGAATATTTCATCTAGTCAAAAACCAGACAAGAACCCCCCTCAAGGTTTTATATAGCTCTTAATGTGGAGAGTGCAACGGAAGTTGAATGTTTGGATGGCCGAGCCTCTTCTGGAGCCTCTCTGCAACCATGAACAACATTGACCCATATACGAAAAGAAACAATACTTATATTATTATTGAATCTTTTTATTTTGTAAGAGTTAAACATTTTTCGTCAGCATTGATTTGATTTGAACATAATTTATTGTACTAAATATATACAATGGGATTGAGCACAAGTTCTAAAAACTTAAATCGCCCTCTCCCTACATGAGATATTATAACAGGGTGAATTAGAAGTGTTTGCCAGTTTGTACAAAATAGATTACAAGTAAATTAAATAAACTCTCAATGTAGACATACATATACTGCTACATAATTGTTTATACAAATATTTATAAAAATGAGTACAATCAGTTAAATCTACCAGAAGGCTGAATATAAGAATGTACAGTAGAAAATAGATTTTCATTTTCAGCAACACAGAGTGATGTATCCCCCCAGAGTAAAGTCTGAATGTCAACAATATGGACTTTATTAAATCTCAAGAACTTATCGAAAAACTCTTTCCTGGCCTCGTTGTAGTCAGTATCCATATCATTCTTGATATAACTAGAAAAAGCTCACCTTCCATGTGAAGAATAAAGTATTGATAGTATTTCAAAAAGGGAAACATTTAAAAAGACTAAATGTACTTGAATACAGGTGGCTATCATAAACTTGTGTATGTTGAAATTTTCTTGGTTTGAAAAAATCTTCAAAATTAAAAGGCAGAAAAAAATTAATTTTTTTCTATCACTAAAGGGGTGCGGGACTCTGACTGCTGGAACTTGAATGGTAGATGTCAATATACATATGAACCTTGTTTCCAGTACAAACCAGGATACTGTGCTGGGCCAACCAATAGACAATGCTGTGTGCGTGGTAAGCAATGCTACAATATTTTTTTAACACTATAAATGCATAAAAAGACCTTTTTTTTCTAAATTAAACCCAATAAACATCATTTCAACAAGACTTTCTTTTGAAATAAAAAAGATACCAATTTGGTGCAATGGGATAACTATTTTCATACCACAATACATTGAATTTATCATGACAAAACATGATGATAAATTACATTATCAATAACATTTCAAAACTGTGATGATGATAAAAAATAATTAAACATCACTTAATCTCAAATCGCACTGTAAAACGGTTTGAGGATTTTAAAAAGTGCTTCAAATTTTGAATTGAAGATTTTCTACGTTGTCATTCAAGGAAAAATTACGCTAAAAATAAAATAAAATGATGAATTTTTAACGTTGATAATGATTCCTTTAATACACTGCATGAAATTGTTTACAGGAGCGGATTTACAGTGTTGGAGGGCACGTGGCATCTGCCAAATGAATTGGAAACGCTGTAGTGGCAAATATCTGAGAGGTTTATGTGGCGGAGGTCTATCTCGCCAATGCTGTGTATAATTTCCTTTATCTTGAAAATTAAACCAGTATGATTGTATCAATTTTGATTTTTGTATGCAATTAAGGTAAAGGCAGTTAGGTAAAACATATTTATGTACAGGTAAACTGTCATTGAGCGCCTTAAGCTCAGATTTTTATCCACCACTTCGAGCATGACTCGATGATAGTAAAATATGAATAGAAAAAATTAATATACCCTCCATAATAGTACAGTGACAAACCTAGAAAAAGATTCTTATTTTTTTAGTTTAATGGATCAACATCCCCACGGCTGAAAGTTATATGTTATGAAGAGACGATCATCCCATTTTCGCCCTTTGGGGGGGGGGGGGCAGTGGTTAGAGCGTTTGCTCTGGAGTCGCAGAGTAAGGAGTTTTGACTCAATGGTAAATTGTATTTGCTGACAAGGTCATTGCATCGATCATAGAACGTACAAAATGTATACTTTAAACATTTAAACTAGACTGCCGATATTTTTGTTTATCAACTTGTTTGTCAATAATTTACCCCGTTTTAGAAACTATTCGTACGTAGAGCATGCTCTTGCGTTTCGAATCAAGTACATGTAAGCTATATAAACCCCGTATGCAGGTGATAAAGGAATATTACTGCATAAGTAAAGGAAGTTGACGATAGAAATGTTAAAGTCATCATGTTTATAATAAAGCTTGTTGTTAGATTACTATTAACGTCTTTTTCATGTAAATTATCCAAGTATGGAACAGATGTGAAAGAAACTGTGGTATCTGGTATCTCAAGCTCACCAGGATATATCATATCAACATAAGAATGAAAATTACCTTTGTTAATTGACAGTACGTCGTCGATATATCTAAATGTCGAGTTGAAGGCCACAGCAAATGATTTCTTCTTTTCACGCCTAAAAATTTGCACAAATTCATATAATAAAATAACGAACACATAACAAGCTCCACGGTAAAACTTGTCGAATCCGGCCTGCACTGGTTCCAAATATTTACCGAATTAGACAGCATCCCGGATTACACAACATCTAAAAAATGACATCGAGGGAGACTTGAAATTTACTAATGGTTTATTTTATGAATATAAATTTATTTCATTTTTACCCGTGAAATACTGTAATTTATTCATTGAATAAAAATGATATCCTGTCACACTGTGAAAGGATATCAAAATGATATCCTGTCACAGTGTGATGAATATCAAAAGTGCGGGAAAACTCTCGATTTCCCTTCCCATAATGAAGATTGTTGTAAAAACATCTTCCTTGACCTAATGTAAGATAGATGAAAATAAATAAACCACTCTGACAGCGAATAAAACTGTTAAAATTACCAAAAATATGTTGCTAAATCCATGTTTATAGTGTTTTCACCTCACATAGCTATGACATCTCAACCGCTCAACTATGACGTCACGAGCCTATGACAGTATAACAAAAAGACAGAGGCAAAGGAAAAAATCAAAAAAAATTATTTTAAAAATGTAATAAACAGAAAATTCAATGTTTTGTAGTTGAATATGGAATTTATTTCACGAGTGGGACAGGATTTTTGATATTTTCACGAGTGCGAAGCACGAGTGAAAATATCAAAAAATCCTGTCTCACGAGTGAAATAATTTCCATATTCAACTACAAAACATTGAATATCCTCTATATACACATTTTATACATGTTTATCTAATAATTATGGATCGGAAACATGTTTTTCATTATTAACAATAAACCAAATCTGTAAAATCACCATTTTCATTAATAAAAGCGAAGACTTTAAAGATACCATGAAGCTCTTATTTACGTAACAGCTGCAATATATCCTGTTTTTCACCATCAAGGTCGCCAAACAGTGCCGAATGTATAAAAGGAAAATACATCGATTTAGCAAGTTCATAAGTTCAGAAATGGCATTCAAGAACGAGTCAGTTGTAATGTTCTATTTGGTCATTCTTTTGTTCAGCAGCCCATGTCTTCTCATAGTAAAAGGTAAGATAGTCTGCTTCCATTTAAAAATAATTCTTTAATTTGTATTTGTATAATGAAAAATGTAATATTTCTTACATGTATATACTCTCTTTTCATGTTCAAATGCATTTGGAAAATGGTCTTTGACATTTGAAATAATTGTTTGTCTCATTAAAAAACGACAGGAAAATTCAGTTGTATGATCGTAAAGTGATGGTGTCAACGTATGAGTTAGGAATGTCATTTATTTTCCTTCGTAAGTTTTCCTTATTGTTTTTTAAGTAATCAAACAGTTGAGGATTAAGGAAATCCCGCTTCTGTTAAAAAGGAGACCATGGGCCACATCGCTGTCCTAAGCACAAGTGTATGGGTTAGAAAGCACAAATCAGTTCAGTATTTAATTTTTTGGGTGGGTGGGGTTGAATCTTATACTACTTAAGGATGCCTCTATATCAATATAGCATATAACTTTGCTGTTCTTGAAAAGAAAATTCCAATTTTTTCCCTACATATCACAAATTATGGCCCCTTCCTACTCCAACCCTAACCCAATGTTCAATACGTGAGGATGCTTACATGTCAATTGACTAAATATAGTTTTTTTTTCTGTTTTTGAGAAGATTTTTTCCTAATATATATTCTTATGCAAAACTTCGATCTATCATTATTGTCACTTAATACCCCCAGGGGGTCAGGATTTAACAAACTTGAATCTTAACCACCTGAGGACATTTCCATTAGTTCCATAAAAATTATTAATCATGGTTTTGCTATTCTCCGGATGATTAAAAAAATATTTTAAGATACATTCCTTATACTATGAAAACTTTAATCCCACAATGTGGGCTCCCTACCCTTAGGGGTTATGATTTGAAAAATCCTAAATCTACACTGACTGGGAGTGATTCCTTCATGGCTTTGTTGTTCTTAAGAAAATGTATAAATATTTCCCCTATATAATTCCATGTGAAGCTTTGATTGTACATTATTGCCCAACACTAACACAAGGATATTCTGTGCTAATTTTGGTAAACCGCTGTAATTGGCCCTGTGGGTCTTGAGGAGAAGATGAAAATATGAAAAGTTCACAACAAGGATAACGGGACAATTTTGATCAGAAAAGCTCACTTAAGCCTTTGACATTTTTATGAGCATTTTCAATTATTTAACTATTGGTTTTCTGAGCTCTAACTTAAAATATTACTTCATTATAGAGTAAGAAAGTATTTGTGTATATGGAGAATGTAGATTTCTGAATTTTCTTAAAGACATGTGTGTCTATTTCAAACATAAAAATATCATCTGGTAATCTTTATAATTTTTTTTACTTATCTGTCTTTTTGTCAAAGTAAAAGAAATTCTGAAAAATATGAAGTATTGTTAATCATCTAAAATGGCTAAGACATAATGAATGTACTTGAATGCAGTTGATTTTATGAATGTTTATGTTGACATTAAATTCTTTTGGTAGTTTTATATTTATTGATTACTTTTTTTTACTTAAAGGGGGTGACTCTCAATGCTGGGCCATAAATGGTAGATGTCTAAGTATGAATGAATCTTGTTTCCGTTCTATAAAGAGATACTGTGATGGGGAAGATAGAAAATGCTGTCTTTCTGGTAAGGAAAACCTACAATGTTTTTTGAAGACGGATGCGAATACATATGAAAACCTTTTTCTTAATTATACCGTAAATACCATATTTTACAACGATTTACTTAAGTACAGATGAAACAAACAATTTTTTTTCTTTGGAGTAAACTGAATATCATCCCGCATGCCTAGAAAAGTGGACAATTCTTTAATTTTTGCTCCTTAGTCTTGGAAAATGAAATACATTTATAAACTAGATGCTGTCATGAGACAGTAATACCCGCACTAAGGTGTTTGCCTCTAAATGCACACTTCTTCATATTGGGCTTTACCAAGGGAAAAGTCAGTATAATTCAATAATTTACATAATACATGTATTCATCAAATTGAGCATAATATGCTCAGGTGACCATGTAGCTGGAGACTGCAGCGTTATGGTTTTATATATTTACTTTGACCATAACGCTACAACCCCAACAAAAAGGTGCAATTT